GTGAGCCACCGCGTCCGGCCTGAGTGTAGAATTTCTATCCTTGGTCATAGAATTGTGTTGCTGTGTCCTCCTTTTCCAATCATTTAGGTTCGGTTAATGGCATTTAGCACAAGACAAAAGTCTTGTTCCTAGGAACAAAATAGAAACCTGTGGTCCCATTTCTCAGTTTCTTTCCCAAATGTGCCTGTGCCCCTTAGTAGATGATGGGATTAGGCTAAAATGAAGAATTGGTCAGAATGAGGACACCTTTCCCTTACTGCTTAGGGACATTTCCTAGGAGCCCTGAATCTGCCTCAAAGCGCAATACTCAAGTAACCCTAGCACTGAAGGTAGAAGGACAACCACAACTGTACAGAGGAGCAGCGCCCAGATTTTGACCCCTCAGTGTATCAGTACCGTTTTCCTGTATACAAATGATGATGCTGTCCATTTGGGGGACAATTCCTTGGGTGATCTTCTCATCAACATGCCATTTGACTCTGTAAAACACTTCCATCAACAAAAAACCAAGCCCCCTTTGCCTTAACAATTTTGAGAGACTCTATTCACACTCCTGAACTTTATTTTTTATAAATCTGCTTCTTTCTTCAAGCAGTTAAACTCTTTTGCTTTCCAGTCATTCTCTAGGTCTCAAGGAAGTAGCTTTATTAATGCTACTCCAGTTACCACTGAAGTCTGCATCCATTCTGGAATTAGAGTCAGACAATATGCATCCAACAGTCCAGACATTATCTTGGGACACCCTGAAGTTAAACTCTTTTAGATGAGGGTGCAGCTCTAATGTTTACAGAACATATGACATCAGTAAAGTTGCTTAACCTCCCTTTGCCTCAGTTTCCATATCTGTGGAACTGTGACAATAATATGATCTACCTTACAGGTCTTTTTTACAATTTAAACAAGGTAAAGTATTTAGAACAGCATCTAACACATAACATATGCTGCTATTAATTTTGTTATTACTATAATTATAATATTTAGTGCTAAAATAGTCGTTATTATCATCACTAGACCAACTTAGCCAAGAGTAATGGGACACAATCTTAAATCTAATCGAAGTATGTTTCATCTACAAGCAACATTAGATTCTAGGAGGGGTTTTATTCATTGACCAGCTTGCAGATTTTAAAACCCAAATGATTTGGTCTTGATCTATACTAAATAGCTCAGCCTTTATTTATGCTCACCCAGATCTGCCCAGTGCATTTCTTCTCACCATTGACTATGAAAATTTTATCCAGTGAAAAGGCAAAAAAGGCAAAGTGAAAACATATGTATGAGGGTGTTTTGGAAAACTGAAATATCACTTCACCTTTTTTAAAAGTCATCTTTTAAAAGTCATGACTTTTAAAGTCATGACTTTAAAGTCATCTGCTTTCTCTGGCAAGAGATGTCAAGTTGTGAGTATTTGATTTTTTAAAACCATATTGTACTTCTTCAAACACATTTTAAAAACTTTATTATTATACTTTAAGTTCTGGGGTCCATGTGCAGATCATGCGGGTCTGTTACATAGGTATACACGTGCCATGATGGTGGTTTGCTGCATCCATCGCCCCATCATCTACATTAGGTATTTCTCCCAATGCTATCCCTCCCCTAG